TGGAATGTTTCACAGTGTGGTATTAAACATTTCTGTCATCACAGCAACCAAAACGAGCCAATTTACTGGTCAGATCTGTGGAGAGGCAACCCCACTCAGTCAGAATGCCTATTTTTCTAGGCATTTTTGAGTGATAAAAGCACCTGTAATTTTATAAATGTGAAGTAGAGCATTTAAAGTCATACTGTGGAACATTTGAAGCAGAACTACGACATATCCACAACTGAAAAGTTATATTGTGTGCATTTAAATGGGACATAAAATTATTTTATTGTTGTTACATGAAAAATGCATTAACACGTGAGATGTCAGATATTTTAGTTTATCATTAAAGGGCCCACATGCTGTTATGGGGCTTTTATTTATTACCTACAATCATATTTTTTATTTTATGTAGTGAGATAGTGAATTATCTACTGCTGCCAAGCTTTCTATCAGGAAGTACAACTCGCTGCCGCTGCTCAGACATAAATCCTTCAAATGCAAGGTTAGTTTTACTTCTACAATTATTGTATCGACACAAACATTCACATTGACAGTCTGGAGTAATAATAGATTTTCTTCGGGTGCTTTGTGGAGTCGGTAAGACTGTTTTTAGTGGCAGGATAACTATGGCCATTGACATGCACTAGCCTAGCACCAGCGACCTCTGAAATGAGGTCCCTTTAACTTGTATTTGCTGACCACTAAGATTAAAAGCTAAAGCTACAGAGGCAATTTTTATATGTATAATATAAATCAATTTTAAAAATTGCTTGGAATGTTCCACAGTAGGGCATTAAACATATTTCCCTTGCATGTTTTTAATTACAGATGTTTATAGTTCAAAAGTTCTTTTCATACGCAGGCTCCATTATGATTGCAAAGTTTATTTCCATACTAGAATAATCAAGACAAAAAGTAGGCGGCGGACCTTCTACCCGAAAAGTTACACAGTGCACCTTTAAATAAAATCTATAAACAATATTTTACTTGGTTTTGCTTTCTCATTATGTTTTTTTTTTTTCTAGTCCCACAGACACCAATTGGACAAATCAAAACTATATTCTGTCTATTTCCGTTTGATCTCTTGCGAACGTGACGCCCACAGACACTCAGCCTCCAAACACACAAAATCGAAATCACAAATCGGCTTAACTCTCCCTGACACATCTGTGAATTAAGCCCTTCCGTTGGCCTCCCTTTCCCATTATAAAGGCATTGTCAGTGGCTCCATCGCTAACAGCTAACAGGTATAGCCCACAGCCTCTGCAGATCTCGTGTCTTTTGTCCCTCTTCTGCCGCACTTGTCAGTCTTCTCAGTCCCTCATGACCTCCACAAGCTCTTTCCTTAATGACGCCTGTCTCTTCACTTTGTGTCTGCTTGGTTTTATTACCGTATTTGCTCACCAAAGTAAACCTGAATCTGTGTGTCATTCGTTCATTTGTTTTTCAAAATAAAACCCAAAAATAAGAAAATGAAAAAAAACAACTGTTTTCTTCATTATTTGTCTCCAAAACCAAAATGAAAAAATGGATAACGATTAATTTTTTCATTTTTCGATTTTGTGTTTAAATGAAAAATGGAAAAAAAAATGATAACTGCTGTTTACCGTTTCTGTGACTTAAAACAGCACTAAACCAAATGAACCAGGATTAAACCAAGTATCAGTCCTGGTCCGTTTCCTGATCACCCAGCAGTCTACACGGGCGCACCTCCGGACCAGTCTCGACACTCCTGGTTCAGTCCTGGTTCAGTCCTGGTTCAGTCCTTGTTCAGTCCTGGTTTAGTCCTGGTTCAAGTCCTGGTTTAGTCCTGGTTTAGTCTTGGTTTAGTCCTGGTTTAGTCTTGGTTTATGACTGAGACCAGGACTGGATCAGGACCAGGACAAGGACTGAGACTGGGAGTGAAACCAGTTTAGACGTGGTTTAGAGCTGGTTTCGACCTCTTTCAGTCCTGGTTCAATCCAGCATCGCAGTCTAAGGCTACGTTCAGACTGCAGGGCTTAATGCTCAATTCTGATTTTTTTGTGAAATCCGATGTTTTTGCGAGGTCGTTCACATTTCCAATTAAATGCGACTTGTCTGTGACTTCAGTGTGAACGGTAAACGGCCCGAAAGTGTCCCGCATGCGCACTGGAGGACACGATGACGTCAACCCCATGCGTCAACCGCAGCGAAGCGTGCTCTGTGTTTACGGAAGTTGTCCAAATATGGTCGCGAGCATTGAGCACCTGGCGATTTTACAGTTCCGGTTTCTGCCTGCTTCAGCGCAGAATAGTGACGTTTGTCGCTTGTTAATGACGTGTAGGTCGGATGGATGTGCTTTGGCCGTTCAGACTGAAGTCGCATGTCAAAAGATCAGATATGTATCGGATTCAGGAGCACATATCCAAGTGGCCTGGGTCGCATTTGAAAAATTCGGATCTGTGCCGTTCAGACTGTCATTAAAAGATCGGATACAGGTCACATAGAAGCCAAAAAATCGAATTTGGGTCACTTCAGGCTGCAGTCTGAACGCAGCCTTAGTCACGGAAACGGGAAATGGCTGTTATCCTTTTTTCTATTACTCATTTAAACACAAAATGGAAAACAAACTAATTGTTATCTGTTTTTTCATCTTGGTTTTGGAGATGAATAATGAAGAAAATAGATGTTTTCTTATTGTTTTTTTTATTTTTGGTTTTATACTGAAAAAGAATGAACAAATGATAAACAGACTAACCAGTTTTCTTTTTTTTTTTTTTTTTTGGTTTTGTTTTGTTTTGTTTTTTGCTTCTGGCTTCGTGTTACCATGTGATGTTCTTAAAAAGCTCACATTAGAAGCAGACGTTGAAAAAAGCATTGCCTTTCATTCACTTTGAAATTATTATTGTATGATATTTATTTTATTTTTATGGTGCAACAAAAAAATACTAAAATGACCATATGATGTGAAATTTATTTTCAAAAGTATACTTGTTATTGACCTGTTTGAGATGTTCAAACAGTGTATTAAACCCCAAAAGTTACAGAATTTCTTGTATGTGTGGCTAATTTGAAGCATTTTTGAATATTATAATTTTAATAATATTTGAAATAGTATTGTTTTGTGATTTTTTTAATATATATACATGACATATAAATGACTGTGTTAAAACAAAAAAAGACAACAGTAGATTTTTGTTGATTTATCATTGGTTTACTGGCATATCATGAATTTTGATGAAGAAATAGACCACTTTTTGTGTATATTTAGAACCCATCTTCAATAATCATCTGATGTTATTTTAAACTCAAATAAAAGACCACTGTTAACAATAGACTAGTTTAGCCCATCAAACACTCATCTTTCACGTTCTATTTCTTGCCTTTGGTGTAAACTAGGCCTCCATGTCCAGCAGCTCTTTATATCCAGAGAGAGGAGCAGAGGGAGGTGTGACGGCGAGGGGAGGGCGGAGTCAAAAATACAACAGGGGAAAAAAAACCAAGAGGTGTTCTGACAGTCCTGCTGCTCACCTACCACCAAACATGCACTATTAAAGTTCTCTCTTCTTACTTCAAACTCAAACAGAGCGTGACTCCAAAACTGTACTCCAGGGGGCGTCAGTTGTGTTGACAGGGAGGTATCTTGAAAAAGAGATAAAAGAACAATGGTTTTCTCATGTAGGATCCATGTTCCACTGCTCCCGGCATTCCTCCAGGACCATTGGGAAAAGAGAGGAGTTTACAGGCAGGGCAGGCTCCAAACAAGTGAACAAATCCTGCTAGAGATACAGTATAGAGTAAAAAGTACACACCACTGTTGTAGATGCAGTAGTATAGTGTCGAGTATTGACAGTACTGATGGGTTTAAACATTAGAGAGAATTGATTTTACTAAAGGGCATCTGTGATAGGGTTTGTTGAGATTTCAAATAATGGTTATGACGGCTGGTATGAACATTTAGTGTGAAGCTGTTTCCCTTATGACCTCTTGTAGCTGAGATATTTTCATTACTTATCTTTCTATTTTATTTGTACGTGTACATTACATTTATATAATTACGCCTTATTTGACATCACTCTCTTGCTGTTATTTTGCTACTTATTTACAATTATTATTACCATTTATATTTTTTCTCTTTGTTATTATATTATATTGTGATGTGTGAGCTTCTGTGTCCAATTAATTTCACTTGTGGATCAATAAAGTTTGTCTAAATCTAAGTAAAGAGGTTACACTATCCAAAATTATGATTGAGAATTTCAGCTAACAGTTTAAATATTGTAGAAGTATAGAAGTAGTTGTCAAAAGTTGGGCCACACCATCTCAGTGTTTTTTGTATATGTTTACTACTTTCTACATTTTATATACAAACAGAAGTCGTCAAATGTATGAAGTAAGATATATGGAATTATGAACCAAATGTCTGCCAAAATGTAGAAAGTACAGTAAAAATGTCCAAACTGTTTTGATTTGTAGCGTAGGATCAAATTTAATTTCTATAGCAACTCCTAAGTCACTTAAAGGTGCACTGTGTAACTTTTCTGATGAATGGTTCACCATCTGCTTGGTATGAAATTAGTATATTTCCATTGAGACAAGCAAGTTGTGCCACCAGGCCAAGATACAAGTTAGATCTGTGAAGAGGGAAGCTTTTCAGAGATAAAATGCATGTTTTTCTATGAGTGTGTATACATGCACATCTGTATCCTGGTTATTAGCCATATCCCGGTTATGGCAGAATATATATATACATGCCACAATATTCTGGTTACTGTCTTATTTGTGATACATGCACCATGACAAAACTAGGATACTCAAAACACTTTTAACCAGGATACTGATTTGCATCTATGCACACTCATTGTATTAAACACACACACAGGATTAGGATTAGGATTAGGATAGGTTTAATGCCATAGTGTGGAACATATCAGACGAAGCAATAATTCCCATGGAAACAAAGAGGTAGCGGACTCACACATCAGAAGAGTTACACTGACTATTAAAATGAAATGGTACAATTCAAACTCAAATATCTTCTGTTTTTGTTGCAGGGTGCAGTGATCACGCCAGCCATGGACCACACGATGTCCATGCAGCCAGCCAGCATGATGGGGCCTCTGACACAGCAGATGAATCACCTGTCCCTGGGCACTACCGGAAGTGTGAGCACCTTTACTCTTTAATTTGAACACACTGCACTGCAATCAGACCAAAACCACATCTATTATAGAGGTTCAGTTTGATATGTCTTTTATTTTTTTCAAAACTTGGTGCGGATCAAGACCACAAGAGCTGCTGTTTTGGTGATGCTTTAATCCAGTTGACTGTATTAAAAGTTCTTTCTTCACATTGTTCACACTTATATAGAAAACTCCTCCTTCTCGTTATAATTCATTGAGCATTAATGGACTAACATCCTTTTGACTCAGTTCTGTTTTTATGAACCTCACTAAATCAGGCAGTTTAAAGGGCCTATATTACACAAAATTGCCTGAGCTTTTAGTCATGTTAGAATACTGTTACCTCATCAAAAACATACCTGGAGTTGTGTTTTGTTTCATTCACACATGTCTGAGTAATCCTTTATTTTTCTGTCTATATCTCCAAAGCTCAAAGGTATTTTCTGTTCTTCTTTGTCTACTATACAACATTCTAGACACAGCAATAACAAATCTATGGAAAGCAGCCTGGAAAAGTAACTCAATGCACCTTTAAAATATTTAGTGTCAGATTCCAGGCCAGCTCGATTATTTTCAAGTCCAATTTCTCTGTAAGTAGAATGTTTTTAATGAAAGTACCGATACAGCATTGAGTCCACTTGAGTCCATTTCCTTTCAGTTTTACAGCAGGGCTCAGCTGGCTCCTTGTGTCCTGCTGTTGTGGGTCTGGTCCACAGCTTCAGGTCATGGCCGTCCTCTCATCACAAACATTTGGGTTTCAACACAGTCCACATTGAGTCAAAGAAGGATTTGACATTTCCTTTGAGCAGAGCCAAGGCACCACATGCTCTGTCTCTATCATTCAAACTACATTGTACTCACGGCAGGGTGCAGCTAGAACATACACCGCTGAACAAGTCTTTTTTATTTTATTTTTCAAGAGAAGGCTGAATACTGTGTACTGCTGTGTTCACATGTGTCCTGGTTTGACCCTGCTTTTGTTCAGTTTTTGGATTCATAATGGCAGTCTCAAAGTGAAGGACATGACAAGCATACATGTTAGTTTTTGTAACTTACCAGGCAAAATTTGGACACACTCTCTCATTCATTGTTTTTTTTTTTTCTTCTGTGTTTTAACTACTTTCTTCATTTGATACACATGCAGAAGACATCAAATATATGAAGTAAGATATACTAAGCAATTATGTAGTAATGAAAAGGTACTATCAACTTGGCTAAACATTGCTTAAAACTAAACCAGATCCAGACTTACCAATACCATAGCTTGGAAAACATCTTGTATCAAAACACTGGTATCCAAACAATTGCCCGGGGACCAAATGTGTCTCTCAGGCCATTTTTTGTTGGCCCTCAGGCCCTCAGGCCTCATGCTAAAATTTTACCACTATAACCTCAATATTACACATGTACATTGTCTAGAGATTCAGTTAATCTCCCCAGCCAGTGATAGTAAACCTAATAGCATAAGGTACAGTGGCTCTGTCAAATATGTGAGAAGCTGATTGACTCACTGTACTGACCACCAGTCTGTGCTCCGGCCATCCACTATGTTTCAGTATGTGGCCCAAAATTGTGGACACCCCTGTCTTAAAACAACATCCATTCAACAACACAAGATTGTAAAATTAAAAATTGATCAGTTACTACTACTATAATAGTAAATACTACCTTATATTCATTCTTGATAACAATTTACACCAGGAGCATCAGCTGCATGTAATGTAGGCAGAGCTGCATATGCACATACTTTGAAAAAGCTGCAGTTTACACTAGGGGCAACAGAGTTGTTCTTGTGACACCAGCATCTGTGTATTCTCATGATTAAACACAAAACTTTTCACATTGCTTATGTATTCATTGTTGATTGGATGAAGGGTGTTTTAAATCACAATACAAGAGCTCACAACTAGAGACGATGCTTCGCGTTTACAGCAATTACAAACTGTATCTGTGGCACTTGCATTAATTAAGATACTCACCATTTAACTGTGGTTGTCTGCATCATGAACCTTTTCCTTCAGAAGTTGTTTTATATTTATCTTAGCTGTAAACTTTCCATAGTCCCTCATGAGTCATTCCCTGAGCTCCTGATGCGAATGGTGTTTACGTGACTGCAGTGGTTTTAGTGAGCATATTTTGAAAGGGCATCGGAACTTTATTTTGACACCACCTGCTTATTTCCTGTCTTGCTCCTGCTAAAAAGCCTGGAGATGCTCCGTTGACCCTGAAAAATTAGAACTCAAAACTAATTTGAGAGGTGCATAGCGTAATGACGGCAGTTGGATTTACACTGCTGGTGTAAATTGTCCGACCGGTGAAAATGGAAAGCGATACCTGCCCGCGTGTATGCTGCGCATATGCTGCGCTGCTGCTCTTACACTCTGTTACTGCTTTGGTGTAAATTGGGGGTAAGTAGTATTCCTTAAAGCACTTTCTTATAATAAACAAGATTGTTCCACTCCTTATGACTTATGCAGGACATGTTAAACACATTTCCTCTCACAGCTTACATGGACTTTGCACCTCTCACTCTCCCTCCCTCCTTCGCCTTCTTGTCACTCCTTAAATCACTCTCTCCTGTCTATCACTCCATCACTCCTCCAGTCTTCCATAAATAGGCCTCTCTCTCTCCTGGATCAGTCTGACTTAAAGGTGTCATATGGGGCTCTGAAGGGCTTGCCTCACTGCTCCAGGCCACTCCAGCCAATACTTATTCCACTACCTCCACCTTTGATCTCCCTCTCTGCCTCTTGTGTTATATGCAGTGGAAAATGGACCTAACACACTCAAGGACTTTTATAGAGCATATTTAGGACCGCCTTTTTAATTTTGTAAAGACTCATGACATTTTGAATGAATTACTTGGATGATTTTTTTGGCTTGACTGGTTAAAGGTGGGGAAACTTACTGTGACATAAACAGAAATATAAACAGATCAAAAATTAATTGGTTTACTTTATTTGTAGCATAGCTTGAATCAGATGACTTAAATTTGCTTCTGTAGTGGTAACAGTAAGATTTTTTTTGTAATTACAGTTAAATTATGGTCTGAATAATCAGGACTATTGATTAACCAAAAGATTTGACATCTCTGCTGTGGGTAGGTTAAAAATCTACCATTTCTACAATTTACTGTGCATTTGACCCGTCCTTCAATGCCACTGGAATCCCTCTCCAGATTAGTGAAAGTTTTGTTTTGTCACATATGCAGGATTAACGGTCATGGAAATCCCGGAAAAGTCATGGAAATTGAAAATGTCATTTTCAAGGCCTGGAAAAGTCATAGAATTTGTAATTTGAATGTCATGTATCCAAATGATTTTACTGAAGGTGTATGAAGTTTAAAAACACTATGGAGCACTTCATGTTTTATAAGTATTTTAAGATATGGAAATCTAGACAGACTAATGATAAAAGATTACTCCAGGGTTCCCACTCTTTTTCACAAACAAACAAAAACAAAACAACAAAATTTCTAAACGTTTCCATGACTTTTTCATGACCTATAGTGAATTTTCCATGACTTTATGGCACCCCACATGTGTAGAATTGAGCATAATTTTAGGACTCAATATGAAATGTTAACCCTTTCCACTCACCTTATGGTTTGGTATTATAGTTTTTTAACATTCAAAATACTGTGAGTGCATTTATTGTCGTCTCTTTTAAACAAAAAGTTTCAAGTTTTCAGTTTGCGAAAGATCTCAGCCTAAATCTGTGTGTTAAACATGTGTGAATGAAACAAAACTAAATTCCAGGTATGATTTTGATATGGAAACAATGTTCTAACAGTACAGAAAATAGCATAATATGGGCCCTTTCAGTTGTACAGCCTTGTATTTATGGTGTCTATTTCTGTTATATTGTAAAAGAAGAGACATTTATTTAACATGGCAGAGTTGGAGACAGTTACTGCATATAATATATTTCATTTCATAATAAAACAAAATGGAAATCGTATTTTTAATGCACTGCCTTTGTACTTTTACTTCATAATAATATATCAGTAGTGTGAATATCAGTATCAGTTAGCCTTAGTTCTGTGTGTAAATGGTTCAAACAGTGTGGTATTGTATCGCATTTCTGGCCATGTGTTTCCAGGTGAGCTGTGAGCGACTGTGCCTCCATTTTGGATCTGTCAGATTGCCCCGCGCAGCCATAATCTGCCCCAGCTGCGCTAACAGGCAGGATTAGAGACAGGCTAATCTATGGTGATGGCTTGTGATGTTTGATGGCTTGTATTAACGCTAGAATGTGGGTTAGGGCCTCTTTTTCTTCCTCCTCGCTCCCTCTTTGCTCCTACTTTGCCGGCTATCCTGAGGCGATTTGCTTTGTAGCCCAAGTTTTTCTCGGCACACACGACATGCCACACTTGATCATGGTGAATATTTCAGACGTGTTTCACATTAGGGCGTCTCTCTGGGAAGTCCTGGAGTCTTTTATAGTTGTGATTGAGAAAACCTGGCACCGTTTACATCTGCAGCTTTTCACCAAATAAACTGGACTAATGCTGTCACGATCATTTGTTGCCTTTCCTTCGCGTTTGATCCATCGACTAAACTGTCCTGATCTATAGGTTAGGTTTGTTTATTTGCCATTTGTAGTTAATAGTGCATTGCGCAACTTTCACCGGTTTGTCTGGAATGTTCCACAGTGTGACATTAAACAGCTCTACCTTACATTTATTCACTTACAAGTGGGTTTATAGCTCAAAAATACCCTAGAAAAACAGACATTCTGACTGTGAGCGTGGTTGCCTCTCCACAGATCTGACCCGTAACTTGGTCTGGTTTGGTCTCCATGGAGAAAAGCATTTGACGGCCCCTCCTCTAAAAAGTTACACAATGCAACTTTAAAAACAATCTAGCATTTATTCATTACGGGTGTTTCTATTGCTCAAAAATACAATCATTCTCTCTGAGTGAAGCTTGAGATATAGCTTTAATCTAACCGTGGAACATTCTAGACAAAGCAGTAACTGT